TTTAATTTGACGGAAAAAGTCCTGTCTTGCAAAAAATTTCTAATGAAAATTGGCAAATTACCTCTCAGACCCAAGGCGTGGAGCTTCATCATGAGGCCAGTCCGCCATGTCATGTCGAAAGCTTTTTCTATGTCTAGGAATACTGCAATTAGTGTTTCTTTACTGCAAAGAGCTTTTGAGATGTCAGTTTCAAGACTTATTAAATGATCTAGTGTGCTTCTACCTTGGCGGAAACCACACTGTCGATCATTCAATAAGTTGTTACTTTCCAAAAAATACATTAGCCTACGCTTTATCATACGTTCCATGACCTTACACAGACAGTTTGTGAGCGAAATCGGACGGAATGAGTTGGTGTTGGTAGGGCATTTGTCCCTCTTTGGGATCGGTACGACATGGGCAAAGTGCCATGAGTTTGGAAACGTTCTGGACGTCCAGATCTCATTGAACACTTCTAGCAATTTGTCCAGGTTTCCCTGGTCAAGGTGCTTAATCATCTCGTATCGTATACCGTCAGGTCCAGGAGTAGAGCCCTTGCCCTTATTTAAAGCAAAGGAAAGTTCCTCTGGGGAAAATGCTCGGCACGATCACGGAACACGCCGAAGCGTGGATCATGATTGGTGGAGCAACTGGCATCTGCGAACTTCTGGCCTAGGGCGTTGGCAATGGCCAGGGGTTCGTCGAGAAGCAGCCCTCCACTACTCACCTGTGGGATAAAAGTCCTTCCTCCTTTTGATCTGACCCGGTTTATAGCCGACCATACCTCGGAGGAAGGGGTATCCTTGTTAATAGTGGAGACGAATGCCCGCCAAGACTCTCTCTTGCACTCACCGAGAACCCTCCTAGCCTTAGCTCTAGCTTTTTTATATTCAATTAAGTTTTCAATAGATGGAATTCTGTTGAATAAACGGCATCGCCTATTTCGCTCACAAACCACTCGTCGGCAGTCTGGTGTCCACCATGGAACTCCAGGCCTGTGGGTTGTTGCAGAAGTCTTAGGAATTGTTAAATCTGCTGCGTGTATTATAGCTTGTTCTATGTGTGACATTTTGGTGTTGATGTCTTCTCCAATGGTGTCTATACGAACGGCTCCTGAGTATGCCCCCCAGTCTGCTTTCCTAAGGTTGTAGCGCACCTCGGGAGTAGCCGTTGGGGCGCCACACTCATAAGAAATGCAGATCGGAAAATGGTCGCTACCCAGAGAGTCGTCGTATGTAGAAAATTTACAGTCTAATAGCAAGGAAGCATCAACTATAGAGAGATCTATAGCTGAGGCTGAGCCAAATCGTTCGTCCACTCGAGTCGTACTACCGTTATTCAGAAGAGACAAGTTGGAGTTGAGTATAGCTGCAGCCACCTGCTCTCCCCTCCCGTCACTCCGGACACTGCCCCACCGCAAATGGCGAGCATTGAGGTCTCCGAGGATCATTTTTTTTCCTGGCAGTTGGTTAAATAGCTCCTCAAGCTCACCATCGTCAATGAGCCCGCCCGGAGGACAGTATAGTGAGCAGACGGCAACATAGCCAGACCGAAACTTGACTCTGCACGCCACAGCCTGCAGGTTCACGCTCAGGTTGACTCTTTGTTGAGTGAATTCACTCCTAATATATAGGGCTACCCCCCTTAGGTTGTCTCCCCTGTAGGACGTGTAGTTGCCAAATACAGGTGGGTCGTCCTGACCCGCAAGTAGCGTCTCTTGTAGGCAAAAAACGTCTGGCCGGAATAATGACTTTAGTAGATGAAATTGAGCATTTTTATTCCTAGCACCTCTGCAATTCCACTGGATGATATTGAATTTTAAGTCTGAGAGTTGATATGGTCAGCGTTTTGGGTTTTGTTTTTCTTTGCTCTTGTTTCTGGGGGGGAATTGTGTGCCGGGGTATGATCCCTCGCATCACATGAGCAGTCTCCCGGCTCCAAAAAACCAGTTCTCTGCTCGGCAGGGGCTCCCTGCCCCCGGTGTGTCCCAACAATGCGAAACAAAGGTTGAGGTGAGGAGTCTCTTGTCATGCTTTCGACAGATAGAAACCTCCTCCTTACTTGGGGGTAGACAAGGTCGTCAGTCTGCTTAGGTTTTGTAGTCTCGTTTAACTTGTTTTTAGTTTTAGTCTCGTTAGTAGTCATAGTTGTCTTTGAGTTTTCGTCGTTGGCGTCTGTGGTTGGATATCCGGTGAGTGTGGAGTCAGTTTGTGTTGCAATGGTCCTGGTCTCAGTCTGCGTTCCAGTGGTGCACATTTTGGGAGGTGAGGTGTTTTTGGTTACAGCGGATGCGAAGGACATTCCAGGTGTTGGTGTCTGCAAGGACATCTCCACCTGCCTCTTAGCCTCCTTGTAGTCCAAATTATTCTCTGCTCTCACCCTACTGATCTCATACTCCCTCAGGTAGGAAGGGCACTTCCTGTCTGAGGCAGCATGTTGACCCGAACAGTGGTAGCATTTTTCCTCCGTTTGTGTGCAGTCATCTTCCCTGTGTCCGGTTTGAGCACATTCAGAGCATACCTGGGTGTTACGGCAGGCCTTACCAGTGTGTCCAAACCTTTGGCAGTTGAAACATCGCATGGGAAATGGAATGTATGTTTTCGTTTGGACTCTCTCATATCCTACCAACACATGGGTGGGCCTAACAAGTCCGTCAAAAGTCAGTACAGCTGTGTTTGATCGTTTTCGTTCTCCGTCTGCGGTCCTCCTATTAAAGACGAAGGCATCGACGACTCCTTGATCTTTCATGTAGTACTTAATTTCGTCAGTACTCATTCCCTGGAATTCGTAGCTGTTAACTACAGCCTTACAGGTATTGAGAAATGCTGGGATATACGGTTCCACTATAGTTGAATGAAATGTTTTCAGATTCAAGGCGTCCCTCATTTGCTTAGCGTCTTTAACAGTAACTTGGAGTTCGCCTTTTCTTGTCTTTCGGACTTTCTCCACGTCCCCTATCTGATCCTTAATGGCCTTCTGGATAATGAACCCATTAATTTTGTCAAACGAGGTGGACGTGTCAACAGTCCGAAAGTGGATTACTCTGGCCTTCTCTGTTGAAACTTCAATGTTACGTCTCTGTTGGTTGTTTTGGTCGGTGGTCGTTTCATTGTCTTTGTCTGTCATTGGTCTTGGCAGTCGTGGGTCATTGTGATTGGTCTCCCGCCTCAGCTTGTCCCTGCCTGGACGAGTAGAGGGGGGCTTGTTGTTTCCCCTCCCAGAGAGCATGGTTGGGGTGGCTGGGAACCACCCCTTGGGTACAGTTTTAATCTGTTTTTTACATATACTGTGTAGTTGTTGGTGCACTAAGGTTATAGAAGGCCCTTAGTGCAAAAAAAAAAACTCTTACTTAAGGGCGACCCCCGCACAGTGGTGTGTCTGCACTATCACAGACGTCACTGCTGGATTGGCCCAGGTTATTTCCCCGACCCCCACTGGATACACACATTCCCACTCTGTGAGGTGTGCACCACTGGGGGGCTTTAGCACGAATACTGAAGTATTGAAAAATCAGCAGGTGCCTCGGCCAGGGTAAGTAATAGAAAAAATGAAGTGAAGAGAGAAAGCCCTCCTACCACGTCAGGAAGGACAACAGTTAGCGCTTCCTTTGCAGTTGTGTGGGTCACTCACACTAACTGTGGGGAGGGAAGGCTAAGGTTGTCAGTCCTGAACGTTCGTGAGGTGTCAAAAAATTTTGTGGAAAAATGAGCTGAGTCACTTTTCAATATTTAATTGCTGTTAAACGGCGAGAATCAGTGCATGTGCACAAGATCCGGTAGAATATGGCGTATTGGAACCGTTAGCTGTTCCCGCAAGCAGGTGCGTCTCCTCCGGTGTCCAGTCAGCGTCTGAATCTCAATGGAGAGACAGAGCTTATATACACAGCAGCCGTGAGTCACCCGTGGGAAACCCCGGTCTTTTGACTCCGTTGCTAGGATACTGTGGCATCTGGTGACGCCCCCCCTGGGCCGCTCGTTTGGTTGCTAGGGAAGACGTAGCAGGTGGCATGCGGCTACGCAGTTGTAGGGGAGACGTCCACTACAGTTTCATTCATTTCAGTTTCATTCGTTATGCAAGTTTATATTACTTCAGCATGTGTATTTGGCAACTACAACTATACAATTCAGTTGTATATAGGGAATGCAGGTATACAGTTTAGCATATATGCAGCTATACAATTCAGCCTATATGCAGGTATACAATTCAGTTGTATATAGACGATACAGGTATACAATTATCATGTATACAGTATATACATAATGCAAGTATACAATTCAGTATGTATGTACACATGCAGATATTGCAGGTATACAATTTACCATGTATTTAAACACTGCAGGTATACACTTCAGCATATACTGTACATACACAAAGCAGGTATACAAAAAATATACCTACTGTAGCAACACATTTTGGAAACATATTATTCACTCCTAACTGACCTTAATTTCTTTAACCTTGTCTAATTCCCATTCTTTTGCTCTGTTTCTCTGCATATTTCTCTTTTTATTTTGTCTGTGTTTTCTTGATATGTGTTTATCTTTGTCTTTATTTTACCCCTCTGTCTATACTGTATTTCCCTTCTTTTTATTTATTTTTTTTTTGTTTTATTTATAATTATATTTTTTTACATAATTACCCGGTATTTATTTATTTTTCAATATCTCTTTTTCCTTCATTCATTTATCTCTCCTTCTCCCTGTTTATTTTTCACCTCTTTATTTTTATATTTCTGTCTCTATTTGTCTATATATGTTTTGCCTATTTTTCCACTATTTCTCTTTCTTTATCTGTTCCTTTGCTTTCCACTCTTTTTTGTGTCTCTTCCTTCTTTTGTTTCTTTTCTTTGTCTCTTTCTTTATTTTACACTTATTTCTGTCTTATATCTCACTCTTCCTATTACTATCGCTTTATTCTTTGTCTCTTTTCACTCTCTCTCTCTCTCTCTCTCTCTCTCTCTCTCTCACAATGAACCTCAGGATAATGATACGCAGCTGTACCACCAGAGTCGTCCTCTTACAAAACGTTACAGCACAAGTAATATTTAACACAATGGGGAAAAATCACAAGAAAGTTACCCCACCTGATGAATAAACACCTGAATGCTACCAGGAGAGGGTTAGGCTAGGTAAGGTGAGATTAGGTTAGGTTAGGTTAGCGCTGGGGTGGTTAATCTTAAAGTGAAATAAGCTGAAAGGTTAAATCTACTGGTGATTTTAATAAGCTTATAAGTTAAAATATACAGTAATTTAAAAAAGTGAATAAGAGTAGTCTTAATGCTATGAAAATTTGGTCGTTGTTGAGAACTTCATTAGTTTTGTTGTGTTTTGGGATTTCCTTGTTTGAATCGACTTATTGTTTACTATTTATTATTTGTATACATCTTCTGTCTACATACATACTGAACCATTTTGAATTTACATGCTGATTTTACTGAATAATCATTTTTCTGACTGAGAATGTGCAAAAGATGGCCACCAAACTGATGCCTACACAGCATTTCACTCACAAAGAGAAATACGAACGTCTTCAGTTGTCTAGCTTATACTGTAGACGGGCAAGGGGTGACTTAATAGCGATTTATAAGCACCTCAGAGTGGGGACAGTTTATACTTAGTGAAGACAGTTTATATACCGTTAGGACAGTTTATGCTTAGTGGAGACAGTGTATGTGTAGTGAGGACAGTTTATGCTTAGTGAGAAGAGTTTATAATGATACTTTATGCTTAGTGAGGACAGTTTATATACCTTAAGGACAGCTTACACTTGGTGAGGAGAGTTTATTATAATAGCGTGAGAACAGTTAATGCTTAGTGGGGACAGTTATATACCGTAAGGACAGTATATGTTAGTGAGAAGAGTATACATCATGAGCACAGTTTATATTGCACAAAAACAGTTCATTATAATTTAGGGCAGTTTATGTCCAATGAGACTAGTTTATTTCATGAGGATAGTTTATAATATGTGAGGACATTTAATATCTGGTGGACGGCTTATGCTCTGTGAGGACAATTTATGCTTTGTGAGGTCAGGTTATGTTCCAAGAGGACAATAAGTATATAATTATATACCCATACAGACAGTCTATGCTCTGTAAGAACAGCAACTGTGTATCTTCTCCGTTATGAAGACCAGGAAACTGAAGACCAAACCTGCCAAGAGAAGTGTATTGTTGTCTATAGGTAAACAAAATTCCGTACGTGCAAATTAGCTATGTTTTGTATTATATATGTATATTATTTCATACGCTCTTATACATGTTATTACGTCATTATTCGTATATAATCTATACAATTTTAAGGGCTTGATTGATTTGGACGATAATGACAGAAAATTTTAATTTACTTCAGTCATGACCAACCGCGACTTACAGGCAGCGAAGAGTAGGAATATTCCAGCGAAGTCAGTGAGAGTGAGGATGAGTGATGGTTTATAGCCCTCCTCCTTCCCCGGAGGCACCAGGCAGGCCGTGGCGTTGGCGGTCACCTCCATCACGCTGCGACTCACCAGTCCAGACTCTTTTAAAGGGGCCATCCTGTTTGACGATGAAAAAGCCTTTTTTGTGGGGGGCATGTATAAATTGATCATTAGTCGAGGTTACAGATACAGTATAATGTTTAGGAAGCATTAAGTATCGTGATAAGGGCAAAACACTTATTTCTTGTGTGGTACAATAGACCCATCTATTATCCCATACATACAAAACAAGTGGACCAAAAGTTTTATTTCGTGAGAATATACGACTGAAATGCAATGAGTGATAGAACTCTAGAGTGAAGATAATGTTATAGTGTATGAAATAATAATAATAATAATAATAAACGGTTTATTGAAAAAGTTTGCAGCCCGAAGGCTGAAAATATACATTGGACATAAATGACTTATTACATACATTGGTGGTTTAACAAAAGCCTTCATTAGAGAGTGTGTGTGTGTGTGTGTGTGTGTGTGTGTGTGTGTGTGTGTGTGTGTGTGCCCAATGTCCATTAATTGTTGACCCTTGGGGAAGGAGGTGAACCATGCTCATACACACAACGATAAGGAAATGTAGCGAGAGAACAATAGTTTACCTAATGCTACATTCATCATTTTATTGTTTGTCTCGGGGAATTTATCCATCGTATTTGTTACTTGCTCTATATTAACATAAATGCAGTTTAACTTTTACAGTCAAAAGTTTTAATTTGATTTTATAGGACATAGAGCCATGAAAAGAATATAACAAAATTTATTTGAAGATAAACAGACAGATGTAAGTGGAAAGCGGAATTAAGTGTGTGTGTGTGTGTGCATATGTGTGTCTCACCATTTGTTAAAGTGAGGAACGAGGGTGCTGCCCTTAGGGAAGGCGAAGGCCAGGGGGGCAGCCCTGATGGGCTCGGTGGCTATGTGGTAGTTACACTCGCCCGTCTCCCCAAAGTCTTCACTCATTATCTGTCATGAAAGACATAGTGTCATGTTTGAGGCGTGAAAAAACATAATTTTAGAGTCGTGAAAATATTAAACCAGTACACGAGTCTCCTTAATATACGCTTGTATTCTATACGTTAAAATATACGAAAACTGTCCCAGCCTGCTAAAGCCACACGTCCCTCATGCCCCACCTTCCCCATGCCCCACCTTCCTCATGCCCCACCCTCCTCATGCCCCACCCTCCTCATGCCCCACCTTACTCATGCCCCACCTTACTCATGCCCCACCTTCCTCATGTCCCACCTTCTTCATACCTCACCTTCCTCATACCTTACCTTCCTCATGCCTTTCTTATGCCCCCACCTTCCTCCCCACCTCCTCATGCCTCCTCCTTGCCTTCTTACTCATGCCCCACCTTCTTCACCTTCCTCATGCCCACACCTTCCTCATGCCCATGCCCTGTCCTTCTTTCCTCACCTGCCCCACCTTCCTCATGCCCCACTTTCTTCGCCCCACCTTGCCCCACTTTCTTCATGCCCCACCTTCCTCATGCCTCATTTTCTTCTTGCCTCACCTTCCTCATGCCCCACCTTCCTCATGCCTTACCTTCCCCATGCCCCACCTTCCTCATGCCTCACCTTCCTCATGCTGAAGAAGTCACAGATGACGGCCAGGTCGCCTCTCCTGATGGTGTGTTGCACCTCATTGCAGCTGTAGACGAAGGAGCTGCCCTCGTACACCTTCTTGTTCAGACCAGACTTGGAGGACTGTCACCACCACGTTACAACATGTAAAATGTATCTATTAAATAAGTGCACACACACACACACACACACACACACACACACACACACTTTGCAATTATTGGAATATACTTGCATGGTGTAATACTCGCATTGTTCTTATATTGGAACTTATCAACAACTGTCGAACCAACAAACATTCAAGAACACTTAAGTTACGTAACTTGGAAGCAAAAACAAATGTGTTAAGAATATCATATTTTACTTTACCCTCTTCGCCACTACTATGGAAGTGTTTCTGCGTTGCGCTGCTCACACACACACACACACACACACACACACACACACACACACACACACACACACACAAGCTGTGACTCACACTGAAGAAGTGGTGCATGGACGTCCCCTTCTCGTTGGCCCAGGGGATCTTGCCATAGTTAACAAGGTCCTCCAGTGAATCCACGGGCACAGTGACGAAGGGCACAGCCAGCAAGGAGGTGAGGATACCCTGATAAGCTGAGGTGAGGATAAGGGCACTTATTAGCCACGTCCCAAGAAACACTCGACCTGATGCAGTCCGTGGGAGGTGACAGACGGCTGTGTAGGAGGAAGACGTGGTTTGTCTCAGCTATTGACACAAGTAATATTTTCCTCTGTATGTTTTAAGCTTTCCAACAGTCATTATACTCACGCTCTCTGAGAACAGCTCGTACAGGCCAGCTGTGTTGGAACACCTCGGTGGACGGATCATTTCGGGATTTGTGCCCAGGAGGTGAGATCGTGGCATTAGATGTCTTAATTGGTGAGAAAAGCTGAGGGGTAGCGAGCCAGCTCAAAATGGAGCCCACAATTCCACTCAACCCCAACACCACCGCCAGCACCACCCACACCTGCTCACATATACAAACATGCATCATATATGTTAAAAATTATATTCCATCTTTACCATGACAACTCCGGCTGGCTAACGTATGAGGCAGAAGAAACTTTTCTTTTTAGTGAAGTTAATACATTGGTTGCATACTTTAAATCGAATATTCATATATGTGTAATACATTAATTGTTTTCCTTCCTACATTCAGAGCATAGCTGTAAGATGTGGAAATTAATATGATATTTGAAAAGAGTCTGCTATTTCTTTCACGTACGTTAATTTGAAAATCAGAAGATAATACAATAGAGTATATCCTATATTTAACATCATGTTCTCTATCGCCTGTTCGACATTGTGTTTAGAACATAAGAACATAAGAATGGATGAAACTGCAGCGGGCCTATTGGCCCATACTGGGCAGTCCCATTTACACCCAACCCCTATCGCTCATATATCCATTCAACCTATGTTTGAAGCTATCCAGCGTATTTGAGTTAATGATGATGATTGGTAACTTGTTCCACTCGTCCACTACTCTATTTCCAAACCAATGCTTACCTATTTCGCACCTAAATCTAAATTTGTCTAATTTAAAACCATTGTAATGTCACCTTTGTTTAGCCCTGACTTCCATTTATACACCTCTATCATATCGCCCCTCACTCTATGTCTCTCGAGGGAGTGCAAAATAAGATGCTTTAACCTGTCTCTGTACTCAAGGTTCCTAATGCCCGGGATTAGTCTTGTCATTCTCCTCTGAATTCCTTCTAGGAATTCCATATCCATTCTGTAGTACGGTGACCAGAATTAAACTGCGTAATCCAAGTGAGGTCTCACAAGCGCAAGATATAGTTTTAGGATGACCTTGCTAGTCTTGTAACTATCACTCCTTTGTATTTACCCAAGTACTTTGTTAGCCTTGTTTCGAGCAAATAAACATTGTTTACTTGGTTTAAGATTCCTACTTATCATTACTCCTAAATCTTTCTCACAGTCGGATTTCTCTATAACATCGTTGTTCATCTGGTATCTGGTTTCTCTGTTTACATCTCCTATTATGTCTGTCCCTCTGTCAGTTTGGCATGTTTATGACTACAACTGTTAGGAAGCTACCCAGGAGCAACTGATGGACTCAGGCTATGAATCCATTATACAATGGACATGAGGAATACTTATCACATGGCATATGCAAGACATCAATGGTCATTAGGACACGGATGCTTTTATTACTGTTTTTGCAAAGCTCTACCAGATTGTCCGACAAATTGAAGTTCAATTTTAATTAAAATAATTATAATAGGAGAATCTGCACAATAGTAAAGAAAAAGTAACAGCCTTCACAATAATGAAACCGTGGTTCAACGTGAGAAAGAGAGAGAAAAATGTTATATAACCAGATGGTTTACCTGCCAGGAGAAAGGTTTGATAAATCCAGCTAAGTCTCGCTCCAGCCTGGGTCGTGGCAAGAAGATGCCGAAGCCGTCCACGTAAAGAGTGGAGGAGAAGTCCACCACCTGGGCCCTCTCCCACGTCACGCTGAAGGGTCCCAGCGACATGTCCACCTCCTACGTAAGTTTCAGACAATATTTATACGTAATAGATGACTGAAACAGCTCACTGAGTCTTTGTCACATCTGCTGTAAGAAACTCTTGTATATGCCTCTTCTTACACCTCGTAGATATGCTGAAAGCCAACCTGTCCTCCTGAGTTATGCACAAAAGTTACCTCATAATATTTAGTAATTTGGGTTAGATCCATTCGAATAGATTAAATTTGATAAATTTTGCTTCTTCATTCTTTTTTTAAAGGTGCATAGAATTTCCCTGTTGATCCTAGCTGTTCTCAACTAATGGGCCAATGAAATATATGTGTATGTGTGTGTGTGTGTGTGTGCTGACTTCTAGTTACCAACTTGGGGTGCAGAACCCACCTTTCTTTGCGTTTTCCCGATTAAGCCCGTGAAGGAGCCGTTAGGTAGTTGTCGACCCCACTCCCCATCAGGTGACAGCACCGTCGTGTACCTGAGACCGGGCGATTTGTTCATTAATCATCATTCATCACATATCAGTATTGTCCAGTGTTAGTACCGGCCCGGGGACTGAACCCAGGGCACAATGGGGAAAAATACGCGTGCTATCTCTGTAGTACCACTACAAGTGACTACATGAATTATTTGGCACTTGACTTGACTTAATGCCTGTAGATGAGGATGAAGGGCTATTGCTTGTTGTTGGGTGGGAGGGGAGGGTATACTGCCAGACTGGGGGTCACTAATACTAAGGGTAAATACTTAACTCTAATCTTAATTTCTAAGGGTCGATGCCACCAGACCCCCTCTGGACAGCATGTAGCTCGTTAGGTAGCGTGCAGAGTGGACTAGGCATTGGGTTAGGTTTTCCATTGACCAGATCGATAAGGGGAAAGAAGGGTGAAACCATAACATGTCTTAATTAATTTATTCCTTATAAAGCATACTGGTAAAAAACATACAAATGAATGGGTCTTCCTCAGAAGAACAACGAAAATGTTGGTTACCCAGATGGGCACCAGACGTCTTACATTAATGGCGTGTCATCCACATACTTATTGCATAACAATCTGTGACCTCCTTACCTCGGTCATTCCTTCTTACACTATTCCTTAACACATCAGACTGCTCCACCTGTGTGGAATATAGCACCGTCGGTTATCATACATAGTAGCACCATCTCAACACACATGTTACACTCCATACCTGCAGGTATGGGACTCCTTGTGACTTTTAGGTATACACAACAGGCGCCTCGTTCGCACACCGCCCTCGGTGGGTAAAGACGAGGGCTTCACCTAGAGACATACCAGTACTATTTCTACGCCTGGTATTATAGGTCGCTCCAAGTGACGACCGCAGAGTTTCTCACGGTCTCCTTATTTGTGACTACTCATTAGGAGTGGTGTGCTGGAAATCCACAGGTTCACAGTGGAGTGGCATAGCTGGGAGTAGTCACCACCTGTTGGGACGCTCATAGGGATAATGGCTGCCGGGCAGCAAGGCACTCCGACCGCATGGAACCTGAGGTGACGGTAGAACGGAGGGTACTGAGAACAGTGCCCTGCCGCTCGTCACCACGTAGGCCTACAGTTTCCAATCTTTAATTTTTACTTTTATTTCTTACGGCTCTCACCTGAACACTTTTCGGTATATTGTCACTCATGCCGTATAAACACATATTTTAATCCTAAATTACACACTAAGGTAAGGTCTTGGTTTGCTAGTTCGTGGGTAAATTCATTGGGTTATAATATCAACGCAGCACACCCGAGGCGGGTACATGACGCGCCTTAAAACAAAGGCTGAATGTTCATGGCGTGGGTGTATCAACTTCACTTAAAACTGTAATGAGGGATCCTCCTCTCACACATTGCACTATTTGAACACAGACATAAGATTCTCTGATCACTGTACCTGTCGTGGGTATATGTCACGTGAGGATACGAGGTGTATTAAGTTCATACCGACGCATACAAGATTATTTCCTTTCAAGTATAGTTTCTGGGTCACTTCCAACACCTCACATAGTTCTGATACATTTATCCTTTTTCCAGATCTTTGTTCTCATGTATTTTCATATGATATCTGTGGAAGTTATGTTCGCTACACGTTCACAGACGTAAATAGTATGACCTTCAAACCCTAATCCACACTTAGTCGTACAGTACACTAGTCCGGCTCAACTGGACTTTAACATTCATCTTATGGATACCCTGAGTTCTCCTTAATGCTATGAATACATACAATTAATATGATATAACTGTACCTGGGTACAATACAACACATGGTCTAGTAACATTGAGTAGGTGAGTTATCCTTTAACAGTGTTTCCCGTTTTCTGAGATTCTACAAGAGCGGTGGATTTGAATGTTATATAGCGTAATATGAATTAAATGGGGTTTTAGGAATGACAATGATGTGCGCAGTACAAGGGGGGGGGGGTGGAAATACTTTGGAGGTACTTGGGAGGGGGTGAGTTTTAGGAGAAGGTAAATGAGGAGGAAATTTGAAGGAAAGTAGGAGAGTAAAAGTATCCAGGCTAAACCAGATAAGCTGTTTTTTTTAATTCTTTGTTGATCTTTTGCACGAGTTATTTAAGCTCTAACTCTCAGGCCTTTGACTTTTCTCTAGGACTAGGTCATGTTATGTCATAGCAGTAGCCAGTATTTCAAGAAAGAGGTGACGACCTCTGGCCAGGTTCTTTATGGATCTGGCTGAGCATCGTGTCTTTTTTTTAATAAAGTGGGAGGAAGAACAGCAGCAGGAAGGGGTTGGAGAGGCCAAGGAAAGTGTCCGTTAAACACCTTTTTTTTCCTTTTCTTTAAATTGAAGCTTTTGTTTCAATAGGAAAAGGTTTTTGCAAGGAAGTGGTGTAGGATCCAACTTGCTATTTGGTTCGCAGGGAGGTGGTCCTATCTGTTTATTTTAATTGAAAAGGTTGATGTTTTTTGTTGCCAATGTTTTAATTGGCTACTCATGCCATGCGATTTATTTTGTTATTTTGTTGTTGTATTGATTTGAGATTGTTAGTTGTATCTTGGTATTTGTTATCGCCGCCCTCGTACGCCGCGACTTCTGACTCACATACCATGTGGTCGGTGGTTGCCCAGATGTTCGGGGACGCACAGCAAGCATTGCGTTGCTATGATCATATATGAGGACTCGGGATCGCTTCTGGCTGATAGTATCTTCCAAGCCCTTAAGTGTACACACACTAGTTACCAGGAGTTACTTGGAGCGATACTGGGAGTTAAGTGGAGCTATAAACCCGCACACTTATTGGATATTTGGACCTATATTCTGGAACGGGGTGGTAATATCGACAATATATACCAAGATTTTCCCAAGGCTTTCGGCAGTGTACCCCAAGAAAGGGTGAAAATCAAACTGGAAGAGTGCGGAATTCGAGGAAATGTCCTAGCGTGGATAGAAGACTTTCTACATGACCGCAAGCAGTGTGTGGTGATTAATGGCACGAAATCATCATCTGTACCTGTCACAAGCGGGTTACCACAGGGCAGTGTATTGGGCACTCTTATGAGGGCCTGAACTGCCACCATTTATGAGGGCCACTACTGCCACCATTTATGAGGGGCCTGAGCTTCCACCATTTATGAGGGCCTCTGTGTGCCAGTAACAATTCCTTTTACTCTCACACTTATTACCATTGGTAGCGTGACGATAGGAGGCTCGTGGGTAGGTGTAATGATAGTATCAAGCAATAGGGAAGAGATAACGGTAAATACTGTAGGTAAATAATAGTCACAATTATACAAATACAAAGTTTATTTAAACATGAATATGAAATTAGGAGAAAGAATTTATTTGTACCAACAGACGAAATCTAGTACTAGGCCCTCAGGCTCAACCTACTCACACCATTACTGGGTGGACATAATAACACTTCCAACCCTACAGGGTGGACATACTCAATAACACAACTATTATAGTCACTTAGCACCATAAAGTCCAGGGCAACTGCCACTACAACACTCAGTCGTCAGGGGTGATACTCAAGCAACAGCCATGGGGTCCAGCCGCCATGGAGTACTTTCCGACGAACTCTGAAGATCCCAGTGGATTAATTCCACCACACAAATAGCCCTACTGAGTTAGACACTCATCCACCAATGATGGGGGCTGGTAGTGGTGTGTGGCTTGGTGATCCGGGGTCACCTCGCAGACCGAGCGTTAGGGCCAGACGAGCCAGCTATGGGGGCTATAGGTAGTCTGAAGTGTCTGACGACCGGGTCTCACGAAGGTAACAGATCCTACTGGACCTCGGACATCTCCCCAGACATTGTGGATACAACATCCACGCTACAGACACGGCCTAGGCTGCGTTAGGGACCTGTATGGATGAAGGGACGGGCACTCACTAACGGGGACAACAACATCACGTTTCAGGGGACGTTAAAGACGTAAATATGACTTCACTCAGAGCATATCAACTACGTTATTGTAACACTTGCACAATCAACTATTAATTGGGTCAAATCACTTAAAAAGGGCAAATTACAACACAGCGTGGAATGGCATACCTGTATGGATGAAGGGACGGGCACTCACTAACGGTAGAAATGCCCGTGGCGCCCTCACTCAAAATAGGCCAGGGAGTCCACCTACTTCTATTCCGATGAATTCATTTACTTTACACTCTGACGTTGAAATTGAGACTATGAACTCAGTTTCATTCCCTACTATTATCCTCACTAACAATGCTCTGACTGAGTTATCAAAAGCAAAATTAAATTGATTACAAAGGGTTGGATGGCAACAGGGCCCAGCATACAGCGTCTGCTACTAAATCCGTGGATTATATTCCAAGTTCCCACTAAACGAAGACGGGGGAAACAGAGAAAACGGGGGACGTTTCCACTGGGGGACTCAGAAGGTTTTGTGGACGTTTGAGTGTAATATGAATCCTTAAGGTTTTCAGGTTAGCCGTCATCACGATCATTACACTCTGTTGTTTGTTTGTTTCATAAATGACATGCCTGACGTTACGTTATACACTCCTCCATACAAATGTTTGCCGATGACGCCAAGTTATTTTGGGAAATCAAGAACCATGCGGACTGTGAAGAGCTGCAGAAGGATCTCTGTGAGCTCCAAGAATGGTCGAAGAAATGGCCGCTGAGATTCAATGTCACGAAGTGTAAGATGATGCACCTGGGGCGTACCAACGGTAACGAGGCGTTACACATGTCCCAACGGGATGAAGAAACTGCATTACTTGAGACTGAATGTGAGAAGGACCTAGGTGTGTATGTTGACAATGAGCTGAAGTTCTCGGGCCGTTGCGATAAGAAGGTAAATCAGGCAAATAAATTATTGGGTCTTATAAGAAGGTCGTTCAGATATCTATAGACGGTCCGTCCCTCGTAACGATCTTCAAGTGTGAAGTGCTTCCTCAACTGGAGTACTGTCACCCCGTCTGGTCCCCGAGATATGCTAGGCACTGTCAGTTGGTTGAAAATGTTCAAAGGAGGGCCACCAGACTGGTGCCTACACTTCGGCACCTCAACTACCCTGAGAGATTGGAGCGCCTGAACTTGCCTAGCTTATACTACAGATGGGCAAGTGCGACCTAATTGAGGTGTATAAGCATCTCAAGGGGCACTACTCAGTCGAATGTCCTTTCTTGGAGCTGGCGGACGCTCGCTCCACAAGGGGTCACAACTCAAGATTGAAGAAACCGCAGGTCCAGAAAACTGTGAGGGCAAACTTTTTCGGAGTGAGAGTTGTGAACTCTTGGAACAATCTACCAGACAGTGTTGTGACGGCACCGAGTGTGAGCTCTTTCAAGACCAGACTTGACCAATACTGGAGCAGGTTCAGGTACATTCAGGAGCCGATGCATGCCCAGTACTTGCCAACAGTGAGTAACAGAGACGTGACCGATCGCCCAAGCGGCTAACGAGCCGATCAGTGGTGAAGAGGATAAAATTAAAAAAGTAAAGGAAAAGTGTATTTACTAACTGACATATAATGTATACATGTTATGGAATATAATCAGCAGTTAACAAGGGTCTCACTTTTACAGGTTTTGACCATATCAATCAATAAACGTTGAGAGAGTCCATGTTGCAAGTTTCTCTCACCCTTAAGATGTGTCGTCATCTAACTGTCGAACATTCGGCAGTTAAAATATTGGTTCTGGGTTGTTTAGTCTTGTTCTGAACCATGAATGTTCTCTCACTTTTCTTTCTATTTCATTATCGAGCCAGTAAGTTACAGCCTCTAACTCTTCTACTTACTCCCACGTTCTTTTAGCTTTCTTGTATATGTCTACATTTACTGCCTCGATGGTGGCTTTCCAATGTAGTTCTTCGTTTGTTACCCTTTGTTCATATCTGATGTTATAAATAAATTGTAGGCATTATTTTGTATTGTTTGTAGTTTCTTGATTCTTGTGTCACTGAATGCGTTGATTGGTACAGGCGGGTAGCTTATTGTTGATTTTATTAGTGCTGAATACAGTTGTAGTTTGTTTTGTGTATTTAGGTTCTGGAATCTCCTTTTTTTTTTTTTGCTGCTGCTGCTGCGTAGTTTGTTGTCCTTTTCTTTAATGAAGCTTTGGTATCCAGTTTTTGTGATCTTGAGTCCTAGTGTGCGACAGTCACTTGTCCGACGGGCTGATGGCTGCATTGAGCAAGAGGGGCAGAACTTTGAACATTTGCTCTAAATGTTAACACCAGCACAAATCATATGGCATTATTTTTTGTAATAAACGTCACTAGCAGCAGTGGATGTTTCATTTACACCCCAGGATAAGTAATAAGAGATCTTAGTGTGGAAAAAAAGCCATCCAACCACGTCAGGAGGGCCAAGAAACAGCTGCCCTCCAGCAGGAGTGTGGGTCACTCATACTACCCGTAGGGGAAACAATTGCTGTTGGCATTCCTAATCCAGGGACGGTCGAGGTCGTTTGCTCAATTAACCCGCTTCTAAGAGTTGTTCTGGTTGGTAAGGTCGAGGTGTGATCTGTGGTCAAGTCGTGCTTTGGCTGTTCAGGGAAGGTGCGTTCCCGCTGCTGCCAGTCACCAATTGGATATTGTCGTCAGGAGCGTTGGCTATTGCTGCTACTGCTGTCCGGCGAATATCCATCCTTATGGCACAATTAATCAGCCTCTCAATTATAGTGGAGAAGGGGTGGATAAGTGGGAGCAGGTGTAAGTATGTATTTGTCCGCATATGTGTGTGCGTATTTATATGCAACCGAATGTTTATATCGATACGTGTTTCTATTTTCTCTCTATTGATGTTCTTTGTCTGTCCGTCACCATAGCTCAGACATCGCCTACACCGGTACTAAAGTCACAGTCGCGTTTTTATTTTAATATCTTTTCTTCGTGAACATAACATGCCATCCGTGTCCGTATAAGGTCCGCTCCGGAGAGTTTAGCTCTTTACATTTGGTCTAACAATTATAACTGTGCTCCCTCATCTTTCTGGTGGGCTGATCTGCTGATCAGTGTTCCCCATGTGCCAGCACCATTATACAAGCTCCCTCGGGTCACCAAGACCCCTGATTCATACTGTGATTTAGCAACAACATACAGAGGTTTTCACCCTTTTCTGTGCGTTAAAATGCTTGTGTATGTGAAGGTCTGTGACGGCGATAAAGTAGTTTACATACACGCACGAATATGCAAAGTTTGGTCGGATTGATAGACAAGCCCCACTATATGTTCCTTTCTCAGTTGAGTCGGATCATAAAACCAAAAATAAATTAAAAGGTTACTGTACTCATAATAACAACAACAACAACAACAATAATGATAATAATAATAATAATAATAATAATAATTAGGGCCCGGATAGTTATGCACTAAAAAACCATGAAATATGCATGCAAATATGCACTAAAAACAGGGGAAATATGCATTTATATGCACTAAAAATGTCACTTATAAAGCCAAGAATGCAGGTTATACGGAAACAAAATAGTTAATATAAACTAATGTTAATGTGCACTATTGGACTTAACAGCTTCGAGTCGGATGTGCTTGCTTGTTTTAAGGTGTTGTTGGACTTGAAATTTCTTGCTCGCTGTCACTGGTGCTTCACAATATTTACAAAACAGTACACTTCCATCAGTAGTAAATGCATCAAATTCCTTTACATATGATCTCAGCACTTCATTTTGGTTTCTTTGTACTTTCGGCATTTTCACGAGCAGCAGAAGAGAGTAGCTCCACACAGCAGCACTGCTCCTGACTGACTAACTCACTAGTCCAATGAGTCATGACCAGGTGTGGAAACGACAGATTAAAGCGACGTGACCTCACCTCACTTCACCTAACCACACCTCACCTCACCTCCCAGTACCACGTGTGCTCATTCAGTGGCAACAAAGAGATACTGCCAGATGAATATTTTACCAAAATATGCATTTATATGCAGTTATCTAGGTAATATGCACTTATCATAGAAATCACGCAAAATATGCATTTGCATATGAAATATGCAAATGCATAACTATCAAACATTTAGGAGAAATTTTGCATTATTTTCAAGTTCAATAAAAAGATCCATACGTGAAATTAAGTTTGTTGGCAATGATGTTGAAGAAGTCCACGGCGACGCCTGTGAGAGAGATGTTGGCTTTGCTCCCCGTCTCAACCACCTCCTCGAGGGGCGCAACCCAGGGCACCCACCTGCCCACACCAACTTTCAGGTGACGGCCACTCAAAGCCATGCTCGCTCCAGTAACGTATCCTGTAATTCTATGAAAGAAGAATTCGTCAGTGAGAAGTCAGGGGTGAAGTATTTTTGGCTTAAGGCGGCGGCACACTGGGCACATTTCCTCCCAAAACATGTTGGGCAAACTCAGTCCGGCCAGTAAAACAAAGAGACTTGTGTCACACTGAGACGTTTTGTTGGCGCATCTAGTCTGCCCAACACAACGAAAACAACAACAAAGCTTCTAGACGAGGTCCAGCATGGGTCCAGTACAGTTGAGGCCTAGCAGGATTGTGCTATAGTTCTTCAATTGTTGAAGCAAGTGAGGCGTCTGCAAAGGCTAAAGAAAAGACATTGGGTGCGTCGTGAAGTTTCTTTAAAAGTGGCGGCGGCTGCCTGGTCAAAGAAGACCCTGAATAATGATTTAATAATACTAAAAAAGTTTTAAAGTGACGAATAAATAGAAACATGTCACCGTTTTTGTGTTATATTTTAATTACAATATTATTGTTTCATGATTTATTCAATTTTTACTTGAATATTCAACACCTAATATGAAGCACATTTGAGCAGTAACCCAGCCTGCAAAGCTCACTGCCAAACCGTTGTCCATTTCTCCAGTTGCTTGCTGAGCTGTCAGGCCAGCGACCAGCAAAACGGGCAACATTTCTGGAGGAAAGTGCCCAGTGTGCCACCACCTTTACTCATTTGGATATCAGAGTCGCCGCAATGTCACATCCCAATCATCCACATTAACACAGATTTAAATAAATTATCATCATGGATTTGGCTGTACGGGAGATAACGTCACGCTGACTTAATTAGTGTATACTCGATAGAATGTTTACTATTTTAAGCAATGACAAGTACTTACATTATTGTTTCTCTAGTTTAATTATTTGTGTTTTCGTTCCTCTCACATATTGACTTTACTCATACCGTTACTTATGCCAAGGAATCTGTGGGAGGAAGGAAGGGGATATCATACTCTGGTTTCAGGATTTAAATATGCAAAAATGAAAGTGGCTAATATGTATTCCCATGTATAAATTAATTCTAAGATGGGTTTATTAATTGCAACTTTTCCCAAAAATCTCATTTACACGGTAAAAATTGCGATTTTCTGATTTGAAGGCTGTCTAACGCAGCCTCAGGGCACCCAAACCAAAGCGCGCACCTGTTCTGCATATGATTTTGTCTAAAAGTTGCCTTTTTATCTCTTCCTTGCTTAATTGCGTGTTTCAACACCTCTGGGTGCTCAGAAAATGCTTAGATTTCGCGTAAAATTTAAGAATTTTATGTTTTTCTTCAAAGAATAGGTGCGGCTCACCAGCTTTACTCAGATCGAGTACCAGGAGACTTGCCTCCTCCACGTGTAGGTTTACACGCCTGTTCTTCCTGGAACACTGAAAAGCGTGGCCTCATATGATCTTATATTATGATCTTATGAGGACTTTTAGCTCTTATGAGCATTAACGATGGCTTCAGCCTCTTCATTAGCCACTCGAACCTGAAATGCTCTTAAGTATGTCCTGCTTCGATATGAGCACTGGGAGCATTTATCGATGGTCTATCCTGGCTCTCACCCACCCATCTCTCCTCTCGTGACCGTACACAGCTTGGGAAGCAGTTGAGACTTCCTGTACAACTCTCTCGCAGGACTGAGTAGGAACAGAGAAAGCGTCCTCTTTGAGTGGAGTTTGTCTGAGATCCTCGAGCTCAGTCAAGTTCATCTTGCAGGTGAAAATAGGCTCGTAAATATTCTCTGATTCCCAGTTGATGAGATCCTCAGGTGAAGCGGCTTGCAGATTGACGTCGGGATTTTTATGGGGCCTCACTGTCGTATCACCAAAGTCTCTTCCTTCTCTATCTGCCTCACATCAAAATCTCTCTGATGCTCATCCTCACTGCACAGGAATGAAGCCAGGATGTTCTCAGGATGTGCGTGGTAAGCTCCTTTTATCACTGCAGCAGAAATGATGTTCCTGACCTCGGGAATCTGGTTCCTCAGCAGCCTCAGGTTTGAAACGACATGTTCAGGACCAAACTTGAGGTGGTGCTTCACTTTGATGTCGTAATACATTTTGAAGTAGAAGTTAAGGTAGAACTTCACGAGGACCTCGAGCCTCCTCAAGACCCCCCCTCCCCCCCCCTTCAGTCCGTGCTCCCTCATTCACAACAGCAATATGGTCTGTGCAGTAGTGAGCAAACCTGGATTGGTTCAGAGGTCCGCACTTGAGACCAGCCAACTGTGGACTGAGATTCCAGACTTGATGGTTTTGATCAGAAGATAGCAGTAGTCCTGGTCTGTGGAGAGAGATTTGACTATCTCTACTGACAGCTCTATGATATTTACAGTTCCTTCCACTGATTTGAAGTTAAAGTTGACCTCAAGTTCATTCACTTTCTCAAGAAGTTTTCCAATAGGCCCACTGAAGCCTGACCGGGGAGTTACTGGGCCGTCCAGCTTGATGATTAAGTGCCTCAGGGGGAGCTAGTTCACATGGAGCTGACAGATCATCCGTGGCACTTGCAACCCAGCACCTTCTCCAATAGGTCTATGGCGCCTCCAGACCACCCGGTGTTGGTAGAATCTCCTCTAATCATCACAAGGCTCTCTTCAGCTCCGTGATCCAGAAGCCACTCATGCAGACCCTGAGCTATCTTATGAGTAGGCTTTTCTCCTTCCTCAGGTTCCTCGAGAGTGAAGTGGAAGAGGTACTTTCCTTGAGGCTCCCACGTGATAGTGTAATGCTCCTCGATCACTTTGTCAGGATGAAATCTCCCTGTCACTTCGTCATATTTCAACACCTTCTTGTTCCTATCCTTGCCATCAAAGAATATCCCGGATATCTCTTCCCCTGTCCTCTGCATGAGAGCTTCAACTAATGAGGCCATTATTTCTTCCTTGGCCCTCTAGACTTTCATGCCATCTATGGCCAAGTACAGTAAGCCTTGTCTTTGGAAAGATGACCGGCCTTGATGAGATCGTTCAGGAAGCCAGTGACAACTGCATCTACTGGAACATTTGCCACCTTGTACCTCAAAGCTGCTGAAGCTGTCCCTTGGATCTTCATGTAGTTTCGTGGAGCAAAAGTTGGAGTTTCGGCAGGTACTTCAGCGGGAACGTCCACAGGAGCTTCAGTAGCCTCAGCATTGCCAGAGGCTTCTTTTGCAGCTTCTTCCAAGTTGTCTCTTCGTCCTCCTCAAAGACTTTCATGAGAATTTCCTCTTTAGTAGCCTCCTCTTTCTTCTTCCTCTCCACAGCAGAAGCTTCTTCAGCCTCCTTCCTCTTCGCTGCTTTGATCTGTCTCCTGCTGTCTTTGAAGTCTACAGAAGACACCGGGATTCCTGAAGTTTCGGAAGTCTTCACTCTCTGGTAGTACAGCCACTGATGGTCCAATTTGGGAATTTTCATCTCCAAAGGACAGTTACAGTTCACATGGGCCTTGAGGGAGCATCCTGAGCATCCAGTCCCCTCTGAGCCGCTCAAGAAGATCTGATGCTTGCAAACGCAGACTTCACAGAGTTTATCCGGATCAGCCATCCTCTTCTCCTGGGTAGCAGACTTAACTCTCCCGTTCACAACGTCTGTCATCTCCTTCTATTTCAACAAGATCTTATATGAGAGCGATTTTTCCGTGATTGTCACAGGCGGGGAGAAATTTACATTCGACGTCCTCCACTGTGTCATCACGAGTGAAGCCAGCTCGTCAGTCATCTCTCGAATGGGGTTGTAGTGGACTTCTCCCCTATAACTGCGTAGCGGCGTCACCACCTGCTACCATCCTCCCTAGCAACCAAGCGAGCGACGACACCAGATGTTACGGTAACCTAGCAACCGAACTAGAGACCGGCGACTTTCTCGGGTTTTCCCAACATGACTCATAGAGGACTCGCGGCTGCTGGGTATATAAGCTCTGTCTCTCCATTGAGATTCATTCTGGTCTCTCTTCTTGAACAAGCAACACCTCCTCCTCCACCGCTGCCTGGCGGCCCTCGCTTCTCCTCGCCTGCCTGGTGGTCCTCGCTCCCGCCAGCGAGCATGGCGACCCACCAGCTGTCCTTCTCTGAGCTTCCTCACCAACCAGCTTTCTCATTCTGGCCCATCTTCCTGAACACGCAACACCTCCTCCAGCAAGCTCTACGCTGTCCAGCTTTCATTCAACCAGGAGGCCAGCAACAGGCAACATCTTCTCTAACGAAGCTCCTGCACATCTACCTCCTTCAACACGCTACTCACCGAACGTCTCTACTGAGCAGCTCCTCACCACACGGCACCTCCAGCACCAGACTGTAAATCATATAACTTATATTATACAAGAAAACCACCTTAGAGTTTCCATCCATCCTGAGTGCTAGACAACATTATACCACGAATTCCTACAAATGGTGACTCCCGGAGATTAGCACTCACACAGGATGGAGGAGACACTGATCACGCTCCCAGTCTTCAAGCAGACACCGGCTCCTCTTCCTGCCCCAAGCACCACATCCTACCGACCCCAGAACACCCAACCTGCCTCAGACGCCGACCCCGGCCCAGCAGTAACCCCTGCCGCCCCTGACGCGGCCTCTGTTCCTGAGTGCGGACCCACACACACACCCCTCTTTTCTCCCTCAGGTACTCCCTGCTAATGTCCTGCACCCTGCTGCTGTCGTGGACCCAGCTGCTGTCACGAGCCCTAATCCGCTTCTGCTGACGCAGCCCCTGCTCCTGACCCAGGCCCACACACACCCCAGCAGGCGCATCTGACGACTCAGTACCTGCCGTGAGGGAAGCACACAACATCCATCGCCTCCACACACCCTTTTTTCTCCCTCAGGTACTCCCTGCTAATGTCCTGCACCCTGCTGCTGTCGTGGACCCAGCTGCTGTCACGAGCCCTAATCCGCTTCTGCTGACGCAGCCCCTGCTCCTGACCCAGGCCCACACACCCCAGCAGGCGCATCTGACTACCCTGTACCTGTCATGAGGGAAGCACAACATTCATCGCCTCCACACAACCTTTTTCTCCCTTCTCCCACAGATAGTGTGTATCTAGACAGTTGTATTTCAGCGATCGGCTCATTTACGCCATCGCCGTTGTCTCACATGAGGCATGCACCACCCGGTCTGCCTCACATGTGCTAAGCAACTCTACAGACAACAAATCTCCTACACCGCCTGGAGGGAGGGGGAGTATTGTAGTGGACTTCTTCCCTACAACTGCGTAGCGGCGTCACCACCTGCTACCATCCTCCCTAGCAACCAAGCGAGCGGCGACACCAGATGTTACGGTAACCTAGCAACGGAACTAGAGACCGGCGACTTTCTCGGGTTTTCCCAACATGACTCATAGAGGACTCGCGGCTGCTGGGCATATAAGCTCTGTCTCTCCATTGAGATTCATTCTGGTCTCTCTTCTTGAACAAGCAACATCTCCTCCTCCGCCGCTGCCTGGCGGCCCTCGTTTCTCCTCGCCTGCCTGGCGGTCCTCGCTCCCGCCAGCGAGCATGGCGACCCACCAGCTGTCCTTCTCTGAGCTTCCTCACCAACCAGCTTTCTCATTCTGGCCCATCTTCCTGAACACGCAACACCTCCTCCAGCAAGCTCCATGCTGTCCAGCTTTCATTCAACCAGGAGGCCAGCAACAGGCAACATCTTCTCTAACGAAGCTCCTGCACATCTACCTCCTTCAACACGCTACTCACCGAACGTCTCTACTGAGCAGCTCCTCACCACACAGCACCTCCAGCACCAGACTGTAAATCATATAACTTATATTATACAAGAAAACCACCTTAGAGTTTCCATCCATCCTGAGTGCTAGACAACATTATACCACGAATTCCTACAGGGTATTTAGACCTTTGGATGTCGTCAATGAGGAGCTTTTCCTCCTGCAGACGAATCCCTGTCTGAAGAATGGCTCTCCAAATCGGCACCTCTCTGGGAATGAACTCCTTTCCCGGTCCCACAACATCCGAGAGCTTTGACCCTGATATTTTCCTGGTTTGGGGGGAAGATTCGGTCATCACGGCTAGTCAGTACTTATTCTCGCTCTTGTCTATTGCCAGATCTAAAGAAAAAAATAATTATAAATGACTTTTTATTTTTTGTAACAATTTTATTTTACACAATTACTCAACAAAAACTATTTATAACAATTATTACTATTTAATTTACAAAAAAATATATTATACTTAGTTTTTACAATGATACTTTTTTCTCATGTTTATCATATTTTGACACCAATAATACAGGGCATTTTTTTTTCTACCCTGTAATAGTGTATAGAGATGACTCAAGCATTCAGTACTGATTCAGCTGATCATTTGGTTTGGTTTGGCGCAATAACGCAGGCTGTACATAACACAACGTTGCTACACACCTCGCCTATATTCGGTATTTCAGCACAGAACAGAAAACCGCAATTTTGAACATGATAACGCGATTTTTGGGGAAAAGTTGCAGAAAATAAACCTCTCTTAGAGTTAAATTTTACATAAGAATATATATTAGCCGCTAAGTATAAAATACATTAAGAACTGAGGACCCAGAGGTAAAAACGAACTAGGAAATTTTACGACACTCGGGAAAGTCTATATTAAGGATCATAATTGTAAAAGGTTAGGATAAACTAGAAGAAATTTAAAGTAACACGAAATGGAAGGATATAAAGCAACGCCGAATTTGATTCAGTGTTAGGTTAATATGATTTTAACATGAAGGTGATGTTGATAACTTAAT